GCCTTTTGCTCTTCAAATTCTAGACCACTAGTATTGGTGATCCCCTCCTAGGGTGGATCAGTAGCTTTATTCTACACCAGCACCTGGCAGTACGAGTGCGTGAATCGTTGTCAGATCCCACGCGATTTGATTGCGGGGCACCACAGAGATCGGCATTTGGACCGCGATTATTTTTGATGTATATTAAGGATATCACACACCCCATAAGCTCGAACTGCCTGCTTCATGCCGATGACATCTATGGGTGGAGGACGATCAATACACTAGATGATATCACAGGACTTTAAGCTGATCTGGACAGGGTAAACGCGTGGTCACTCCAGAATCTACTTCGATTCAATGTGGACGAATATAATGCTGCACCTACGGCACAAGTTGGTGTACTCCTAAAACTCGGCGACGAGGAGTTTCAAAGATTTTCTGGTCAGAAGGATCTGGGAATTTTTCTTCAGATTAACCTTGGATGTTCGAATCAGACTGGAACGGCATCAAGAAGGGGTATCCTGCAAGTGGGCTTCCTAAAGTGTGCTTTTGGACGATTCGAGACTTCCATATTTCCACCACTTCTCGCCTCATACATACGAACACATGTAGAATACGCGATACACGACTAGTAACCGTGGCTGAGGAGAGATCTCACCGCTTTGAAGATATCCCAACGCCGGGCAACCAAAAATGTCAAGGGTCTATATAATTTGCCGTATGAACGAAAGTCACAAGTGCTCGGGGTATTCATCGGAGAGTATCGGCGAAGATTGCGCGGGGACCTCATTTTGACTTTCCGATCTTGAGAGATCCAAACCACACGTGTTGCTACTTGCTAGAGCTCATTCACAACAGCAATTTGAGAGACCACCATCTCAAGCTGGCAGAGCAACACAGTCGCTTGGAATGCCGTGGGCATTTCTTTTCCGTACGCGATTGCAGAAGGTGGAATGCGCTATAGGAATACGTCAAATGTGCTCCATGCTGACAAAGTCCGACTTGACCGTGTACTTAGTTCGCTGCACCATCTTATGTGACCAATTATTCATGGAAAAACACATACGTCTGTAACAGATTTTACTGACGGTCCCTGCATTTGTTACACATTTTCACCTCCTGTAAGAGTACCCCAGGAGGAGACACGAATTTATCAACATCCTATTTGCCGTCATTCTTTTGGATTTATCTTAAATTTGCAGTTTGTATTACATATAATTTAGTGAGTTGACCGGTGTAAACACAATTTTTCTGACAATTTTTTATATATTTTGTTTTCAACATAATCATCCAGGGGAACTTGTTAGGCATTAGCTTTTATACCCATATAAAACCCTTGCGTCATTGTTCAATATCCGAGTAACCATTGATCAATGGCACTGAATCGCTTTCTCAACAAGTTGAAAATTCCCATAACCGTTAGGTGGCTGGCGGGGTTCCATGAAATTGTCAACTAATGATGTCTAAGGCTTATTACATCGAACCGTTAACATCAACGTCCTGATTAAAAGTGTCTGTTGCTTTAATGCACGATTTTTGAATTGTCTGAGGCTCTCATTGCTAATCGTAAACACTTCTTGAGGGGTGCCACATGGGGAACCTTGTTTCAGAAGTAATCTAAACTGCTTAGCGACTGATTTCGGGTATTGTGACGCACTGGTCTTTTACATGTGCCTGTTCGGTTTCCAGATAAACCAGTCCGTCTCCAGATATTCCATGGGTAGAGCGTAAACAAATAACCCAATATGTTGAAGAGCACTTGATAGAAACGGTAGATAAACCCGCTTCTCTTCATGGTGTCCTCGAGAATGAACAGTGCCGCTGCGTTCACGATACTGTCTCCTTGGACGGTGGCATGGTGAACCCAGTCCGAAGGTTACATAGCTCACCAAGTTACAGAAGGAGCGGCGCACAGGTAGAGAAGGTAGTACTTCAGCGAATGTAGGCTCCAGTTAGGGTACCTTAAATTTGGCATGTGCATCGCATTGGAATACCTTCCGAGTTCCGGCTGATGGTGGTGATGGACAATCTACTCGAACATCCTACCGCAGTTTCAGACCAAGTCTTATGCATTCTGCCTCAAAACACGAGTGAGGTGCCACTTACAGCATTGGCATAGCTGGAAAAACGCTTAATAGACAACGTTTTGGTAAAAAGCTATCATAGGCTAACTCTTCATTGCTCGGCCAAAACCTACATCGAAAGTACCCATATGATATGTAACTGCGTTTGAAATGATACACATAATTTAGAGTCTATGCCTTCTCAACCTGGTTGTCGACTTCCGATCATCTCAGGCATTAGCGGTAGGACCATCTGCCCTTAGCTGAAAGATAACTGCGGAACGAATTGTCAGACATCAAGGTCTATATAAATGAAACAATATATCTACTGACTGCTGTAATATTGGTGAGCTAGTCACTGTACTCCATGAGATCAATCCGTATTGAGAGCCAATGGATGAACAGGAAACATCGGCCGTCTGGCCTCGCTAGTGCTCTTTGAGACTAAGACTCAATGGCTTGTGCTTCGTGATAATTGTTTATATTCTTTTTTGTCCACACCGGAGGTGATCTCATGCCTGCTGTTTGTTTTGAGAAGGTCGGCAACCATGATGCAGTCATATTGTCATATTAGATGACTTCAATATTGACGATTTGGTAGTACTGGCATCCCCACCGAACAGTTCGAGGCTGGTCATCAATAGTTTATTGAAAATACCTCCCTGTGCAACCATCAGTTAACCTGACAGAACAAGAGAAGAAAACCATCAGCACCAGATAGAATGTTTACAAATAATGTGTTTTTGATCGACAAAACAGTACTATAGTCTGATAAAGCTCAGTGACCATGAAACACTACTTTAATAATACGTGTGACACAGAATAGCCAGGGGGAAGTACGCGTATCACATGTGCGATCATACCATGTGCAACCTTATCAGAGCCTGTTGAGGGCACTATCTGCGAATGCTTGGATAACGGCTGTCTGGTCAGCATGTGAGTGGAGTTAATTAAAAATTTCATCAAGTTAATTACAGCCGCATGAGAAACCAAGCCTCCTTGTTCCATACTCGTACCATACTTCATCAGTAGTAAGGCTTGACTGCGTTTGGCAGCAAGAGAAGCATTGTGGCGTACTACGGGGCCAATTGTTATCGAGAAACTTGGAATAAATACTGGGATTAGCGGGAGCATTGCGCAACCCTTGTCCATGAGGGACAATTCACATACCGACAGCGGTCATTGGGGACATTTGTTTCCAAAAAGGTCTGTTGTAGGAATAAGTTAGCGGTCTTGGTAAAGTGAAGCGCGATACCTCTGTACTTTGATTGCTGAAGTGATCAGCAATTTAAAGTTGTACTAAACGCAGACAGTCCAACGTACCACTAGCCCCTGCCACATATTGCCTCAACAGTACAGGCATGAGGATTTACCCGTGATGCCTTCAGCTCAGTGACTGTACCAAGAAAGCAAAGCAAGGAAGCGAAGAGTACTAGAACCTGGAACCGGAAAGTCGGTTTCGTGCAGAGCGGATGCAAGCAATTCAAAACATTCATATCCAAGTAACTACCTGTTTACAAGTATAATCACACAACATTGCACAAACTCAAAGTAACCTCCGGCATACCTACACATTGTTCACTCACAAAACTGACAGGTAGAGCAGTGAGACCCTTTGGTTTATCCATTGATTTCGTTCAGCTTACGAGTTTGTCATTTCGTTCGTCTTAAATCCAGTTCAAACCTGTTCTCCTCCTAACAGCAAAGCCAAACTTACTTGCTTGAGAGCACTCTGAATTTGAATTTATTGCCAAACGTCATTCATGAGGCCTTTATTTATGGATGAAATAAATTTCAATCAAGTTCGATCATCTCCGTGTCCTAGCTAACACATATTTTTCGTAGTAGATGCGGTTTAGTAGAGAACTTCCTGTTCCCTAGCCTGATACTCTACCGCAAGGAAATGCAATTGGTAGAAATGACCAAAACACTCATCCCTCATCTTCCAACACTTTGACACGCGTAGGAATTGATTATGCATGTTCAAAACACCGAGCATCATTGTGCTTATCTTACTCATTTTGTTGAAGAAACGAATCTCACCGACTGCGTATAGTTATCCGAGATCTGGGGGATAATTCCAGTTGTGTGTTTTAGTAGTGATGGTTTGTTTACTCATACGTCACATCAACACACTGACAGATGAGGCACGGAAACAGGTAAAATCATTTAATGACATTCCCCTGAATTGAATCAGGTCCCTAGGAGACCGTTCTATGGGGCGTTACTCTAGTTTATCTGGGCTTTGATCATTTATAAGATAATGTTTTTTCCGAATTTCCAATTTCTCTAGTAGTTTCAGCTTACCATACGTCTTAAAATATCACCTAGTGAACGGCTTTGGAAAAAATTTGAACAATGACCTGTTTTATGTCATTTTGCTGTACTACCAATCGGCCGGACTGTGCTTCGTCCTATCAAAGAATGTAACCGTTACTGATTTATTACTGTGCTATAACTTGACTTTTTGTTTAGGTGGAACCGATGGAAGCTGCAAGTCAACTTCTCTTCTGGTCAAATGTATGGAAAAAGTTGCATTCTACCGCTTTTCAGTTGAAAACTGCCATGAACCCATACCTGGGACACGATGACTCGGACTTGTGATTATTTGAAATGGATCAAAGATCTGCGTGCTCGGAGTGGATGAGAGTAATTTAAACCTCCGTCAAGTGGCTACCCGCCCAGAGGTGATGCATCAGAATTTGCGAGCGTGTAGGCCCAATCATATAAGCCAGATTGGGATCTTAGTGTGCATTTCTACAATACCTGTGGGATCGGTTCCTACAATCGTAATTATCAAACGTATCCTTGCTTTGACAGCCTACGAAACTGTCTGGCTAACCTCAGCCCTATGAACACTGAAACTTGGGCATATATTTACTGACCTGTTTCCATAAATAACAACCGAAAATAATGGTATACTACAACGCGTCTCTTTTTCACGTTCTGTTGCAGTGACCAATGCGGTTAACCGTGAATCGAACCTATTGAACACGAAAGGACGACCATTTGGCAAACATCTGGAATCACTTGACGTGATAAACGGATCGCGAGTTAAACTACCTTGTCAAATTGGTTTGAAACTAAGCAACACGGTAAGTTTCCGAGTAATTGGCAGCTTGATACATGGACACATTGCTGCTTGAACACATATTAAGGTTCTTCTGTATGGGATCAATTGGACTGTCCATGTGTGTTGTACCCAACTTCCATATCAACGTCAACGGACGTCCACTATGCTAACCCGGTCGCTGGACTCATAAAGGTAATTCCTATTGAATTAGAAACATCGAAACCCGAGCTTTGAGAGCCTACATCTGATGTTGCCTATACTGGGCGGAACAATAGTAGCACGCGGCTCAAGAAGAACAAATTCCAAGTGTAATACAGTTATTACACAAGCACATGTATGGGCCTCAGAGAAACTAAACTAGCGCTTGCACGAAAAGCACAAACAATTTCGTATCGTTCTCGGTGCAGCCACAAGATACGGGTCAACATGTGACATATCGTATGGCCATGGGCATGATTATAGCAAACAAGGTAGGTTAAAATGAGTGCAATTGAAGATCATTCTGTGCATGGATTTGCATAAAGCAAACGAAAAACGTAATTGTCTACTTCGTGAGGTTCAAGCGAATTCAACCACATGGGTTGAGCGTTAAAACAGAATCGTCTGGTTTCCGCCATACTGTTGCTGACGCTTCGATGAGACGGACGAGCTACATACTGTCTTGTCACTTCGTTTGTATTTGAGTGTAATGAATCCGTAACCGGGATCATAGGCAGCGAGCAATTCATTTGCAACTTAGCATGTAGGGCCAATCATACACCGTAATTCATTGTGACATATATTTGACTGCATGAACATTCGTGGGTAGTTCACCCTTTTATTTGATCAGTTGAACAGAGGACTCACATGCACGTCATACTTCAGCTGTTTCAACTAACCACACACACACACACATACACACACACACTAGTGGTCTGCATACCGTGATTTTTCGCTAAGTGCAAGTCACCAGTGTATATCAATGTTATGGATCAAAGGGGACCGTACCATGCATCAATTAAGGTGTATCTGGTTTCTCAGACAGTCGAATTGAAAACACATTGCAACTGCACGCATCTTTTGTTATAATTAAGGTAATTTAGTCAGCACTGAGTCTAGTGGGTTTTAGTTCAATAACATGGACTGAAATGTATCTAATACTTTGTTGAAGTACTCGAAATGGGAAAGGATTGCTCCTCGCAATCTCCATGTGGACTGCGATGCGTATTGTAGGGGATCTTGCTTAAGTCGATAACTGACACCATAGCTGAAGCGAGTGGAGATTGGATGTTGCCTGTCCGAAAACACTGCACTTCACGACGCGTCTCGAATTTCTTTGATTTCAAAAGATAGAGATAGAAGGCATTTAACCTGGAACTATTGGGATGTTAGCCGAATTAGCTACTCCGGTTCCGATGCTCATTATCTCTAGCTGATGAGCTAAACTGAATTCAAAAAGCGTTGCGGATTGCAGTGTTTTCGGTGGGCAACACCTGCCCGCGTTAACACTTACAGTGCCAGTTATCGGTTTGACCAAGGTTCAAGTCTATGCGACTCACAGTCCACATGAAGCTTGCACTTCGCATCCCAATCACACGACGAGTAATGAAAAGTGAACATCAAATAAATTATTGAACGTTTTGCCATCTGACATGTAAACAAGTGATAATTCCAAGACGCGTCGTAAACCTGGTCACATAAATTCCATGATTTACGGCTAACGGTTACAGAAGCAATTAGTCACAGCTCATTCGCAATGACTACCTGAATGATCCGTATAGCATAGATTGGTCATGACTCACTTTAGTAAGAGCATGCGATGCACGAAATGTCATCATATATCCCTCAAACTTCTCGTCTATTTTTGATGGACTTCACTGTCAGAACTTCAGGCCATTCATCCGTTTCCGCGGACCGGGAGTACATGAGGTGTTTGGTGGCTGGAAGAACAATGATAACCACGAGCGTTTCGCTAAGGAGGGTTACTTAACAAATTATGACAAATTTGATTAGCTTCCTTTCTTTAATACACAGTTCAGAACGTAATCATCTACTTTGGTTGGTCACTAAAAGTCTATAGCAGTAATAAAGTGTAGGCGTGAAATAACTTGTTTTTCTTTCGTGACGTTTATCTCATAGTAAATGTTAAACTCACCACCGCAGTTAAATATTTGAGGGCTAAAAGTTTACATCGCAATTCAGAAACTGATTGAAATTGTGGGCTTATGTGATCATTCCCATACTCGTTAACGTTTTGTCATTAAGTACGCTTTCTTCAGATTCATCATAGAGCCTATATTTGTAAACTCATTTAGTAGGGTACATTAATCTTTAAGAGTAACCAAACATTTTTCTGAGAATAGTACTAGAACGTTTCAAGGATTCTGTTGGTTTTATTACAAGATAGAAATCGGTTCATTCCAGTATGTTAACTGGTTAATATACTAATTTAGGCTTCCTGCCAAATGTATACCAAGAAAAGTGCCTCGGATATTCATGTCGCCAAGTGTATGGAGTTTAGGTAAACAATTAAAGACCCCTCTGTTAATGCATTAATCTACGATTCTGGAATAACTTATTAGATTTACCGCCAAGGAGCACTTAGATATGCTTGTCGCCCCAAGATGTAAGTATTTGACCAAGTAGATGCATGTATGGTATTAAAATTCGCCTTTATGTTTTGATTTTTGATTGCCTAACTTTGGGTACTTCTTTAAAGTCATTTCCGCTATTCCACCTTCGCGTAACGCAGCATCAGTGGGACGTGGTATTCTAAGTAGCTCAGCAACACACATAACTAGCTGAAATATACTGACTGCCATCATAATGTGATGATAAGCTACTCAGCCGCAGTAAGATACCTGAACGGTGTAAGTGCATCACGCTGGGATCCCGGTCAAGATGGATCCCATCCCACAACTGTCAAGCCCGTGAACATTCAGCGCATCGACCAGTTTCTCATTGATAACAAGTAGTAGCAGCGTGATATGAAAGCTACAAGTAGTGATTTATGATACCTAGACTTAGTCAAACCGCCATCTCACGCTCGGGGAGACGCTATATAGCCGTCTGATCCCTTCGGGAATCGTCAGCAGTGCGCATGCCATCGGACCCCTGTGCAGATGGAACCAGCAACTCGAGAGTTGCCGGTCCATAGTTAAGACCAATGGACTACGGAGAACGGTATATACTATCGTGACTAAGTTACTGGATGTGATATGGTAGTACCCACTATCTAATGACTTGTAACTTGCTGCAATGCAGAGAAGAGTGTAGTACCCTCGAGCCCATCGTCGTTGATAAGTGTCGGGTAACTTGTGAAATTCAGCCATGTTTAATCTTTCGCTGGAGGTAGTAAAAACGGTAATCTAAGATCTTTTGCTATTTTGCAAATTGAGTGCACATGGTCCCCAAGATAACTTATCGCCTTTAAACAGCACATTCGAGTTGGAGCATACAATCAAATAAATATTGTTTTCCATACTTCCTGAGCTGAATTATCACATCCTCTTTAATGGTACGACTTGAAATAAAGTGATCTCAACTGTTTGTATTCCTTCAAGAAGTCCACAAAGTTCAACCCTTCCGCTATGACGACGAAGTGATGAAAATTATCTTAGACTTGCTCAGGCGTAATGACAAGTGTTCCTATCCTGAATTCTTGGAATCATTAGTGAAAAGTTGCGCTATGTGTATAATATAGTGAGGGACTATATTGAGAATCAACTGCAATTCCTAGACGCTAAAACTTGTAAATCACCTTTTTCTCAAAGTCCAGTGATTATTTGAACATCTCTGCAGGCAATTTTTATGGCTAAGTAAACCACCATAACCAACTTTTGCACAACTAGTGGGTCAATTTAACCCAGTGAGTCGCGAAGCGAACAAATCACTTTCGAATCACGCCTAACGTTGAATCCAAAAATCTCCTTCCATTGCTCTTCCAAAATCGCATTCGATTAGCATACTGCTTTGTAACCCCAAAGTTGGTCAACTTGGGGAAACACTTTATCGTTGACTTGCATCATGCAACCTGCATTTGGCTCATAAAATTCCCCTTCGCAATAATGAAGGCAGCCTGACAGACTGACCTAATGTTTAATTGATCGGAAGCAATGAGTCTAGAATGCTTCAAATTATGCGCCATAGGATGTTGGTCAAGTTGTATGTTGGGCGGAAGCTTAACGCATAGTTCTGGGAAAGTACTTTTGTGTTAACCATGACGACCACTAGCTGTTTCGTCCAGTAATTCACAAATAAATACATATGGAATCTGGTGGGTTTATCCAGGATGTCATGTGTAAATTTTAGAAAACTTCTAATTAAAATGCCCGGTGTTCTCACTTTTGGCAGTTTCAAATTTGTAATGTCGCTACTCAATCATCTATGCATCCCATATGCAGGACTTCGCCAACATATCGTGGGTGAAAATGCCTCGACGAATTCTCACTCGCGGAGTTCTGCGTGTCACTCGCAACAGTCGGATTCATCTGATGCCTCGCTCGACGGACAGCTCAACAGAATTCCCACTTTTCATCAATTCAGTTAGAGAACAGGATGCCGGAGAATATCGGTGCATTTTTCAGTATGGTGCTCTGTTGCATCACAAAACAGTCATTTTGGTCATAAAAAGTGCGTTTAAATGACCATCGTACAAATTAGGTTGGCAAATTTTTGTTGTCCTTACTCAATTCTGCATTGTGAACAACTTGTTACCAAGTAATGCACGACGATTTGTTTGGTTTTTAGTGTTTAACAACTCAAATAATTTTAGAAGGTAGATGAGATTGCCAGTGACTGCATATTGTGGCGACTCAGAATAAATTAAAAGACGCATAGAATGTAAGCAAAGTTCTATAACCTAACAATAATATGAAGAGGTTGTATCGACGAACAATTCAGTCTAATTGATGGATGGGACCAATATGCTATTGCCCCAGTTCGAAAGTGTCTCTTGGTTGACCCTTAAAGAAACTGCCTGGCGGTATATAGTAAAGTTTTACGATCATCATTAACCTTACAGTGCCACATTGCATAACACATAGTTTTTAAAATAACCGTGCCTGTTTACATGTTATGTTTCATATATTCCTTAAAAGACGTCAACACAATAAGCCATGTGCAAATCTAGTTGAGCACTGATTTGTACAATTATCTTGCGGTGTTTTTTTAATCTCATATTGAAGATTTAAGGCTGGACCACGCTTCCAATGCTCCTGTATACTTGAATCACCTATTAAACCGAATAGCGTGCGGTGTGTGTAACTGCAGAAATCTGCAATGTGTAACTATAACTGCTCCGAAGGGTCAGAAAATGTTAATTTTCAAGACTCCAACTCTTCCTTCACATAACTGTTTGTAGGTTCTGTAGGCCAGACGATCTCCCGTACATGCAATCGTCCATTCCTTGGTCTTTGCCTTCGACATTTTTGCTCATTCTAAATCTAGGACTGAATCTACACAAGGCAGAAAAACTACTGTAAACTAGGTATAAATCTACACAGTCAAACCAGTAAGGATTTTCGTTTTCTATTTTATAATAAAATCGTTTGTTTTGTTTCTAAATAAATAAATTGTATATTCCTCGAAGATGCGAGAAGTTGTTCCCTAATAAAGACATCAAATAATGGTACAAGTTTTCCATGACGTTCCATTAATACATTTTCGGAGATAAAACGGGCACAATTGAAAATTAGGTAACAGAGTAAGCAGAGTCGTTCTGTTGTTTTTTCCTTCCATTGAATCAGGATTCTTCACCATCACATGAGAGATATTTGGGTCGAGAATAAAAAAATGTAATGAAAGGGGCTGTTGTCCGAAAGGTTATGTGTATGTGTTTCGGAAATTTATTCAGGCACCATGGATACCGTCTTCGAATGCTTTGTCTAGGGATTGTGATGTCCACAACATCTTAATCACTTTTTGGGCGGTTACATGCTCACTAATTGCAAGCTTAAAATTGCAAAGTGTATAACATGTTATGATATCACTTGGAAGTTTGTCCCAAATCTTTGGGTATTGGATTAGAAAGAAACGTTCTGATTCTCGCAGTAAATTTTGGAATCATGACATTTACCTCTCTGTTACGTGTTGGATGTCTGCCGTTTAAAGATATGTGAACATCGTTTTCAAGGCTACGAATTTGACAATTTATGATTCTGTAAAGAAAACATAGGTTCAGCTTCATTATCCGAAGCCAAACTAGGTCAAATCAAATTTAGCACCTCGCTCTCTGTATGTGAACTTTGAGGAATATTCACATAGCATTTCGTGAAACGTATCTGGACTCTCTCAATGGCGTGGTGGTCAGACTTCCGCAGATTATACTGTACCATTGAACAGTATTCCATACACGGCAATACATATGTTTTGTAAAACGACATGCGTTTTTCCATGCGGTAAAAATGATGGCAGATATATCCGATGGTCCTCATGGCTTTCGAAATTTGAAATTCCCAGTGTTAAGAAAAGTTAAACGTGACTGAATATCACACGCCCAAGTCACGCACTGCATTGCGTTGCGAGATATATGCGCCTTGTAGTAATAAACTGTCTGGCGGTACTTGGCATTTGTACCACAAAATATTACATTGATCCACGGCAAATGACATCTGCTACAATTGACACCAGGAGTCAAGGGCAGATACGTCTTTCTGTATGAGACTTACGGTTTCATGAGTATTTTCACGTGGTTGTGAGTAGACGACTTTAACATCATCAGCTAAGATAAAGGTAACACCATTTCTTATTCTGTGGAATATATCTTTAATATAAATTAGAAAAAGAAGCGGACCAAGAAAACTCCCTTGAATCACTCCACTAGTGATTGCCTTTGGTTTAAAGTAATGGTCGACTATACGCACCACCTGCTGTCTACCAATTAGATATGAAGACAGTCAAGAGAACATCGGTTCTCCAATGCCTATGGACTTTTATTTGTTTAGTCACTTTCTATGAGGCACTCTATCAAAGGCTTTCTGCATATCCAGGATCAGGATTAGGACACTGTTTCCGTTGTTAATGGCAGCCGTTGTGTGGTTTAAAACGTCACTCTGGCATGTTGCGCAGGATCGACCTTGCATGAAGCCGCGTTGCGAATTGCTGATAATGTCAGCGTGGTTCAAGAATATAAATGGTTCCTCTTTCACTATCCTTTCCATTATTCTAGATACGATGGGTGTGTGATTGATGCGACGAAAGTTTTAACCTCGTGGGCAGCGCCATTTTTATGTCAAGTGATAACGACAGAAGTTTTCCATTGAGTAGGGTATACTCCGTTAGTAAAAGTGAGTCTAAAGATATTGAGCAAAAACAGAAGGAAGTCACTACCACTGCTTTTTATTAAACAAGGGGGGATCCCATCATGGCCCGCGCACGTTGAGGAGTATAAGCGAGAGACTTGACTAGTAATTTTCGCTATAGTGAATTCCACTGTGCATAGACCGTCATGGTTGTGAGGCATGGTAAATGTTGGTGTGTCTGATGATTCATTGTGCATTGATTCGGCAAAATAAGCACTGAAAGCTTCGCAGATATCACCTGGTGCGTCATAGTATGTTCCATCAGGTGTGGTGATAACATTGAAGTTGTGGCTGCAACGCGAACCCCTGGCACGGAATATTTTGGCTAGCGCAGCTGTTTTGCTAGGGCAGTTTAGAGCTTTATACTCTTCTAGAATGAGAGTTCTGTCACGTTGATGCCTCTGTTCTTTGACGAGCTTCGACTGCTGTAATAATAGCGCAAAGTCATCAGTTAACCTGAATTTCTGCCGAATCTTATGAAGCTTTCGTGATCTCTTCAAAGCCTTGTGATCGGATTTATGTTTGGTTTGGTAAGCACATTTTACTGGTACTGCTGAATCGATGCAGAAGCCAATTATACTACAAAACTGGTCCATCGCGTGTTGAGAACATGAAGAGAGAAATAAGTTATCCCAATTCATCGAACGAACCAGATCCTTGAATGAGTCCCAGTTGACAGCACTGTACAGACGATAATGCATTGTGTTCTGTACATCGGCTTGCGTAGTCTTAGGCGGCATTTACTCAAGTGATGATCGCTCCCCTGAAACTCATCAAGAACGTTAACACTGATTGCAGGTATTCCCAATGCAAAAATGAGATCCAGAGCAATTTCACCTCTGGTAAGTTGGGAGACATGTTGTTGCCAACCATTCATTGGGATACAGGAGATAATGTTTTGGTATTTCAAAGGAGCGGTTCCTATGGGCCATGAAATCGAAGGCAGATTGAAATCACCTCCAGTAATCTTATGTATAAATGGTAGGCTAGCGGCATATTCAAATGCAAGCGTTAAGTGTTTAGGGTCTTCTTGACTGACGTTTGGTGCGCTGTATATACATCCCATAAGCAGCTGCTGCTGATTACCAGATATCGTAAGCCAAAGTGATTCTAGAACATTGTCCAACATCGGGTTATCAAATGTTGCTGCTGCGAGCGATTTCTTCAGAAAAATTACACAGCCACCACCTCGACGACCAGGACGATTTCTCATAAACTCATTATATCCGAAAATAGTTAGCTGAGTGTCAGACATGCCATCATGGCACCAAGATTCAGTTTTAAATATTATATCAAGACTATTCATCAAAACTAATGAGCCTAGTGGGTGAATCTTAGAGTAAAGAGAGCAAATGTTTATCAATAATACTAAGATAAATGTGAAATATGAAGAAGATACTTTAGGTTGTGTTATAAACACTGGGGTTTCAAGCCGTGTGCCTGGACCCAGGTCAGAAATTGTTGAAAAACTGCGCGTATTTCCAACGGTGGAAAATTATTTGGAGGTGGCCACAGCGGAAGAGGTTGAGACTGAGTATGGCCCTCTAGAAAATGGTTCGAGCGAAAGAGTCCATTGTTTCTGCAATAGCCTGTGGGAGCTGGAGAGTTAGGTCGTGTCCTTCGCATCATGTCGCTGATAGGCTGTTGATTACGTAACTCATTGATAGGGGTCAGTGGGTTGCTGTTATTTCCATCTACGGGTAAAATCCGCTAAAATGCGTCGATACACAAGGCTTCAATATACGCGGTGGAGGCACACTAGTGTCAATCCATATATCAACACCAGCATAATCCATGTGGTTCGTTGATGGAATCGGAAAGTCATGATTTGGGGAAACTATGGTACCATGCTCTGCTTAGTAATTGGCTTCAATATACATTAACTGGTAAGTAGTTAAATCAACATTGTAGATTTCCGCGTCACCTTTTTTAATCTGTCAGACTGGGAGTAATGTTGGCAAGAGTGGCTGCTTAAAGGCTGGGCATAGTTTTGTCATGAGACGGTTTTAGCAGTAAGACACACGGTCACTTGAGTAAGTATTGACGTTCGCTTGCTACAGTAACCAATAAATACCTTCATGTAACCGCATATTCCTGTATTCCAAGAGTAGCTGAACTCAGATAACCGCTATTCGTCGCAATTGTCAAGACTTATTTTTGTGATAGTTGAACTGTTTGCACAGCCTCGCAAATTGGATGCGGACGTTTCGTCACCAATCTACTTAAGATACTAGGTGCGTTATTGCATGACGTGTAGTATTTTGGCGTTTCTTCTGTTCTCAAAGCCACCAGGGCAGAAAAATTCATCACTGTTTGATTGCAGCTTGCCATCATAACATGTCACTACATATATTGAATTAACCGCTAACATTTCGTTTGGTGGTATTTCATGAGCTATAGTGGTATGCATATGGAAAACTTGTCTTACCTTGTAGACAATAAACAGTCAAGTATGGATAAGCCACTGGTCGTCGCACACACACGCTTCCTAATTTTCAGCAGTGTGCATTCCATTCGACGCCTGTGAGGCTAGCACCCACAACTCGTCTGGTCCCAGCAGGTGATGAAAGCCAGTTGGCTACGAAGAGGGTTGGTAGCCGATGTGACTGTTACTAGACGTGAGATAGCGCCGCCACCGAGTTGCATCTTACAACCGTGCAGAGGATAAGGTAACCCCAAGACCAAGCGACGAACTTATCAAACTTATCTGCCACTTAGTCAGAACGACTTGTAATTACCAACACCCCAAGTGTGTATAAGGACCAGCAAACATGAGAAGACCCATTTACCACCAAGCAGATGCTACCACCTCGTCTAGCGATGAAACCCATGCAACCTGAGTGCCAGCTTAATGAGCGCATTCTCCCCTAAGTAATCTGTAGCTTATTCACACATTACAATGTAACAATCTGATTAGAGGGTCAATAATGTGGGACTGTGCACCTGACCGATATGTTTTCTGCGCCACACTGCCACGTAGTCTGTGAACCATGAACTGCGAAATGCTGCAACTGCACCAGTGTCATATGTTCCGATATACCTTTCCTGTTGCTTTGGCGCAACAGACGAATGTTGAGCGTATGACACATGGTTGCCGATGTTCCATGGAGAGCTGCCTTTTGAGGTCAAGGGTTTTCCGGATAGCGTTTTGACTGGTGTTGTTTGATAAAGGTGACTTCATGTTACCACATTTGAAGTGATTCTTATTCAACACCCTCAGAATATACTAACGACTGATGGAACTGTCATAGGTAAGGAAATTCAAGCGGATAAACAGCTTGTCTAATAGCTGGAGGCCATTGGATCCTAAAATGCCTCAGCCTATCACACGCCATTTATAATTGAGGTGGATTAAAATCTATAACTGTAATACGGATCAACCTACAATGATAAATGCTGTTATTTTGCACAAAAGTACTTTCCATACATCAAGTTGGTGTTTGGTAGGCGAAATCCATAATTTCTCTTTCGCTTGACGAAAAACTCGTGATTAATTTTTTACCATTAGCTAGCGAAGTGCAGAATATTGCAACTAGGAACTTTCAGAGAAGGGAGTTAATAACTACATCCGATATCTAATACCACAAGGTTACCGATATTAGTTCCATGGAGGAATCCTCGATAGATATTGGAAAAGCTTCGGTTTGGTGGCTGAGAGCAGCTTATGCGTCCAAACTCTGAATTTGTCCTCAATTCAAAATTGGAAGCCAGAATCTTTAAATCCACGAGAAATGGAGAACAGAAACCTCAGTTTACCACTTAACTATAGTGTACCGCTTTTTATCTGACGGACACTAATAGGCACATAGAAGAAGTAGCTTAGAAATATAGTCCCTCGCTAAGCCTCCAACGCACTTTTTCACTGTGCACACACGTTGTTGCCGTTTTATTGCTAGTAAAGAAATCAGTTTCTCCTACCTCGTCCAGTAGTTATGGAGCTTTTAGTGTACTATATGAATTGTGGCTTTACAATCTGAAGTATAGTTATTAACTCACCTTCAAGCGTTGGTTGGTAATGTACGGGCTTAGTTATATGAGTGGCGTTCTCACGTAGGATAACACTTGGCAGCTAGGTGGAAAACCGCCTTCTTTAACCGTTTGACAGCAATTTTGTGACGTACTTATCAAATACACCAATGGGGTAGGTGGGCGGTTGGCAAGTAGCATTGGCAAATTCGCACCACCACAGATGAGGTGAATAACACGCGGGCACTGACGCATTCGAGGGTTTCTAATGCAGCAATTCTATTGGGCATGAATCGTGTGCTTCTAATAGCACAATGTAGCTCACGATGTGATAAGCAGTGATCACAATGCAAGTGTCCAGGCCCGAAGGTGCTTTATCTGCAATGAGGAGCCCAGTCAAGTGATGTGATGGAGAAGTCTTTTTCCCCTCTACCAGCTGTTGAATGATTCCTGGACCCACTTCCTCTTGCAGTGTTTAAGAATGTCTTGGTTTTAATCTGAGTTACCTGTTAATGTGAATAGTACAATTTTTATGTATTACAAAGGGACTGCAGCCGAGGGTGTGCATATATAAACAAAAATGTGCCCGTAACTAGGAATGCCAGTAAATTACTTAAAATGCGCTGTTTGCCGTACTAAGCACTTATCCATTTCCAGTGACTGCTGAGTGAAAAACTACAGGTTATATGCGCTTTTCTTCCTATAGTCCCACCTCGCCTTGAGGAACGACCGCCTTCTCTGCTTGAAGCCGACGAAGGAAGCAACCTGCGTCTATATTGCAATGCTTCTGGCTCTCCACCACCGAAGATACGGTGGTGGGTAATGCTTGACTCAAGCACCGACAGTAAACCTGGGTCAACTTTAACCTCCTGGGACGAATCAGATGCCTATGGTTGGGCTCCATTTGAAACTGTAAATGAAACACAAGAAATCCCATATTCCGGACGAGGAAGTTTGAGGCCGATTGAGACAGTATTATCCCCGTTCAATAACAGTGAGTTTTCTACTGTGTTTATCATTAGTGAATGGATCAGAGAGATGTGAAAGCAGGCTCCCGCTCGTTTCTGTACGCTGTTTAACCATTGGAAATTGCCTATGCGGAAAGTTGAGCGCGTCCTCCTTCTCTGACGTAGCAGCACTGTGTTAGGGGCATGTAATCCTTGAAACATTTTGCGTGCCACAGTTTACGGATATAATTTCATCCAACCATCTTGTGCGCTCGAGTACGAGGACACACATGGCTACCAGATGTGAATAAGCTACAGCAGTGTGCGTCACAACCACACTGCACTCCGGCCTCTCCACATTTCTGCATTGTTCATACACATTTTTCGCCAGAGTGACTATCTTATTGCTGAACGCAATGTGAATGGTGTTTCTTACAGAATTATAAATACAGGGAAAAATTAAATGAACAATTTTACCCAAGTCTCACCTGCGTTTGCAAATTGCTGAGAACCCTAGATTACAATTTGGCCTTACAATTGGGTTGTAAGAGATATTGTGATTTCACGGAGAGCTCGATAATTGTTACTCGTCTGCCCCAATGTGATAAAAAGTACAAACTAAGGTTTACCAACCGCTATGATAAACGTGTTAAACAACCAGCAGTGTTAACTATGGAGAATGAGCATAGACCGAGTTACAGCAAATTGAATCCCTTTTAACATTTTCAAATGATTTGATTTATCTCAGTTTGTCATTTCATACACAGAGCTTGAGCGTTTACACTAACAGTATGATAAAACATCTCTAAAGGACTTATTAGGGTAGCGATTTTTGGAACACAATTTGATAAAATTAGTCTATTCGACTCCCCAGGCCGACCCGATGGAATGCTGAAAAGTGGTTCCAGATGAGGGGAACATCCTTCTGTCGAAATATCGGGCCTAGCAAGGAAATTGCTTGCAAAATTTTAAAGCTGCCAAGTTATGGTAACCGACGTGTTCAAACTTTGACCCCTAGTAGAATTCCTATGGCGACGAAATCTTAAGTATGCTTGCTGAAAAAACCAACTAACAAGTACTATACTGAACAGATGGTGCAAATCCCGACAGATTTGATTATTAAGGCCGAAACACATCAACCGGTCGCGACATCCTCAACCTATATATGGTTTGGTGAACTTGCAACGCTATGCCACATCCTCACATAAACCTAAAAGAATCTGAGATTCTGTAATCAGATAGCACATATAAGAGTAGTATAAAAATGTTGATAAACAAGCTACCATTATATAACACAGTCAATGACTGCTGGAAGCTTTTCAATGTGATTTGCCTAGCGAATGTAAACAACACAGTGGAACAACGTTATCGTACACCAACCAACGTAACAACCGATGCAGGCATGGATAAGGACGGGAGCCCATTAGAATGCTACTTATCCGCTTCTGCACAACTGTGCACTCCGAAATTGCCTGACACTTTTCAATCTGCAATGCACCACGCAGAATTCGAATGGCCCAGTGCATTTTCAGTGGTTCTAATCTATCGCGTTGTAAGACAGCAAAACGGACTGAGACTAAGGTCCTTTGACCGTTCCACCTCTTAGATGATGTGGACCAATCGTGCTCGACCTAAATGCATTCGTGCGTCTTGAACTTCCTGTTCTCCAATCTTATTGATGCAACAAGCATAGAATCGCAGACCGGTATATTCATCGTTCACCAAATCTTGCCTGAAGTCAGCAACGTGTGATAAGCGCTAGGCATTGCACCATTGTGATAAGGGTAAACGATAGAGATACCACACATAAAGTTCGAATTCCGACCTGATGCAGTGGTACGAAATTAAACATGCAAGCATATTGTGTACTCGAAGGCCATAAGCACACCGTGATTTTTAGTGGCACATTGCATTTCGCTTGGTTATATTTATGACTACTGGTTATTTACCAAGTAGACACGGGTTAGCACATAAAAACTGAATAAATACACGTTTTATTCCTCGACGAGGCCAGGCACAGTCCAATTGAGTGATCGCGTAATCTAGTTAATCTTTCGTATTTTGTACAATGGTTAGCAAAACAGCTTGCTGAAGTGCCTAGCATTTGGAAAGTATTAGAGAGATTAACAATAAAAAATGAAGATCTAACCAAAAGTTCAAGTAAATTTATACGACCATCCATGGAACTATCCCCAGAGGACCTGCTTCCATGCAGGGTATTCCGTCGACGGGTTTCACCCGCACTTCCATACTCCAACGGGCTCTGTGCCGGTGCGGCAACATATTAAGTAGGCCATCACCTGTGTAACAAATTGTTTTTCATGAGGGCTGTTGTATGCATACATAATGGGCAGACTGCGGTGACTACCACGTGCGTCCGGTTGCGACTCTCCACAAGGTCGGCTGTCCTTAGACTCAGCGTTTGATAGTTACTTCTAGGTCTTGTCTGCCACATTGTACTCGATTAAGTGGTTGAGTACTTTGAGCCAAAACTAGGTTTCATAGGGTTAATGGGAGAGGGATGGTGTAACAAAGGCTCTACCTAGCTTCGGTGTGATATTAAAACACACCTAATCAAGGGGTGTGCAGATACTAATCATACCCGTTGGCCATTGGTGGATGAGTAACCATTATACAGTCAAGCACTTTGCTCCTCATCAGGTGACTTACATTTGGACCAAAAGGCTAGTGACTGAACACATGTCTGAGGCATAAACTATACCGCACCCCTGGAATATACTCACTGTCACTGCTCAAGAAGCAGGAGCAAAATCCATACTGGGTCTGGGACGATCATGCAGTGAGCCAGAAGAGCCAAAAGTGTCATCATCATTCAGCAAAAAAGGGATAGATTCCTCCTCAAACGGTCACTTCTAGACGAACCCACGGATCACTAACGAACGTATAGTCCAACATTACTGAATCTTGCGATAACTTCATACATTTCTATCTAAACTCCATAGAAGATAAGCTACTGGACAACTAAAAACAGCGGGGATCCGTAGGCCGACTAGTAGCCGTCTATGTTAAATGGGTTACCATACTACTTGTAATGCAGTAATGAACCCCGCCACGATACGGTGAACCAGGACTAATACGAATAAGTCTGCAGTCAGCACACTAAGTAGGGTAACTTCTTCCATCAGCCACACATTTTCGGACTGTCTGATGGGGTGTTCGCACCATCCCCGACGCACATTGAGAAAAGTGTAATCAAATAAAATGAAACTGTTAACTATCACCAGCTGAAAAAGTAAATACCGATCTATAGTAATGTAGCCCCGAAGCTTCAAGCTTCCGATGAATGGAAAACCCAAACCTGTAATTTGAAGGAATGGCGCTATGTTCGTCCGGCGCTTTCGCTCGATTGCAAGCCTAGCCTCATCAACAAAGTGTAAAAGATATGGCTTCAAGTTGAGATAAATTGTGCTCCAACCAAGACACATGGGGGGAAAAGCACTTAAAACGTCGCGCTAGTGGCGTAAGTAGCTCCCCACATAGTTACCCCCCAATGCAAATAACACGAAACCCCGGTTGATCGAGAGAGCAACCTCACCGTGGTCTAACATCAACTCCAGTATGCCTTGCTCCTGAAATAGACCACGGCGGGGTACAACCAAATATCGAACGAATTATGACTTGGTCAATGTTTACTGAATACGAAGTTCAGCAAAGTGCAGCAAATTTTAATGTGAGCAGTTTCCCAAGAAACGTATAGTTGTTGACCTCACATGAGTAAGCTTCACTTCACAGATGACACCCCACTGGTATGTTTCAGACATGGGAGTTTATCTCCGGTTTGTATACTAAGGCAAAGAACCTATGCAGAAAATTATCTGATCTTCCATCTCTTCACCCCTCAATTCTTATGGACCGTAACGTGAACACTGACACTAGGCAACAAGAGGAATTCGCCGACGCTTAGATAGCTCTACCAGATATGTCCATCCTACGTAAACTTAGTAGGGGAGGTAGTACCGCCGTATTGACTTAAATTTCCAATCCGTTAATGACTCATCGATGTAAATTGTTGACTTGCTTTGATACAGACGTAAGAACAAGGGTTCCGTTGCTTCCGTATACCGTCCTCCCATCCCCATTTTGGAAATAGAACAATGATGTATTACGGGTAAAAATGCAAAGCTTAGCCCTACCCGTCGGCTGGATAATATAGAGAAAGCAGAAAGTTCTGATAAAACGTAAAGTGACTTGGCGAACTCGTCATAGACATACGTAGAGGAGCCAAGATGTCGGTTGGTATTTTAGAAACATACCGTTTGGTTGCGTTACGTAGCCCCCTGGCTAACACGTTATGAAATAAAATGTCAATGGGACAATCCTTTGCCCATTCATTTGGTACATATCATTACATATCATTAGGTTGGGGGCAGAGATGACGTAAATTGGGAGAGCGTTTATTGCTTGACACACTCGAAGTGAAAAGGCATTCTTCGGGCATTCTATCCGGCTATACTGCATTGTCAATTGCAAAGGATGGTATTGTAGTTTACATCCAGCAGCAGGAGACAAATGTGGTTCGGGTACTTCAGAACCTGTTAAACCGTTATGGGGTTTCCCGACTGGCATCGATATGTAATGTTTCACATTCCTCTGCAATTCCATCTGAGCAGGTGGGGCAGGTGGAAGAGTCCTTACAGTTCTTGGTTTCCTTTCCTCGATGAGTCCCTAGGGCAGCGACATTCAGTTTCTGCCAAAGTTGCTACGTTTGGATAGTGTACCCTACGTGTGGTCTCAATTAGGCGTTAAGAATTGGTAGGTTTGAGCGGTCAAACCGACCGAACGCCCTGCGAAGAAAGCCAAAGTGTTAATTGCCGCTTCTCGAAGCCTTATCCGCTTGTTTTGAACATCCGATGTCCTGTACGAGTACAACCACATCACGCACATGAGAGTTATTTTGTAAGGTGTGGTCTGCAAGCTAGTACAAATTCACACGCTTGTGACGCAGGTGGATCGCAACGCATTTAGCTGTGTCCAACTGGAGCAGGTTCCTTAATGAATATTCCTAAATATAGTCCAGATTACGTTG